GTCTTCTTAAGCTTTCCAACGTATCGAAGAAAATTTCGCCAATAATTCGCACTTAAAAACGCAACCAGAATCTTAATCTTTCACCAATCCGAAGTGTCCCAAACGACACCAAGGATAGCTCATGAAACAAGGACATCCCGTGAAATTATTTAACTTCGAGCGCGGAAATCTGAACGATCTTCTAACAATTCATATTTTGCAATGCATCCCTCCCCTAGTTGGGAGGTGACAAGCAAGAGACATGTTCACAACCACAACGCCTTTTGATTGGAAGAAATAAAACCACATTCTATTGGTTATTAGTTGTGAGGACATAACTGCAACGGAAGACACAACTGCAACGCTACATACGTCATCATTTGTCTTCTATTGTTAAGAATGTCAAGACCTTCAGGAAGAAATCTTCTGAATCGACGGAAATAAAACTGGCAATTGTTATCAACTACCGTGGAGTGGAAAATGTCGGAAGACTTATGGACGTTGTGGTAGGATGAAATTTTAATTTCGTAAAATTGTTGATTATGACGTGGTGTCCGATTATACCTCTAAATGGTGGCTATAGATCATGTCTATCAACTTCAAGAGAAAAATGGTTAGAGGGGCAGAAATCACCCTTCCTGGAAACATAATATAATGAGATTTTCATCATTGAATACTACAGAACCATATGGGGGATTCAGGTAAATTGTTACCGATCGAGACACACGAAAGAACCTACCCCCCCTTTCCACAGGCAAAAGGTTCCTAAAACACGATATGTTTGTTTGTGACACACCTTGTGTATAACATTGCTTTCTTTTTAGACGAGTGCTATGATGCTCAGAACATTGTAACTTGTGGGGACGAACTCGAGAAAGGACACTGCGGTGACACTGAAGTGGCTCATGTCTGTAGCCAAACATGTAATGCGCTCTCCTGTGCTCAGGTAACAATTTCATTGCTGAATTTATTTCCTTAGGGTACCCTCCCTTGATTTTGGTTTTTGGGAGTCATTCACGTCTACCTCCCCACCCTGGCACATATGTTTTATTGAATTCTCTGCATTTTCCTGTTGCTTCAGTTCAGCCAATCACAATAGAGCTATTGGTAGTGAGCTAACTATGCTCAGTCAAATGAATAGGGACAAAAAAACCTATATTCTTCGTACCATATACTTCTAAGATCCCAGCAAAAATGTTTGATCGCACAAGGGCGCGAAAAGATGCCCTATGTGTAAAAAAAGCGCAAACCGCTGAGGGGCGGGGTTGGTAAAACGAAGCGCGATAGTAAACGATGCGATGGAAGCGGAGGAGTGGGAAAACCGAGGGAGGTCTGGTTAGGGTCGCTTCATGAACAAAATATTTCGCTCCCTATGACTAATTGGACGTGTAGAGCAGGCTAATGCTTCAAGTTCCGACCACAAATTTCTGCCGCTAGTAGTTATCGCGTTTACAAGATTTAATATCAGGTGTGCAGTTTGTCATATTTACTGTTTATCTTCCAATCATCACCCGGGGCACTCATTTTAAATGTCAGGAGCCCCACTCCTGTAAATGTCAGGAGCCAATTACAATGGGCTCCTGTAAATGTAGCTTAAATGGGCAGAGCTTTGATGAAGAGGCCCTTTTGAGATGGGAGGGGGGGGGGTGGAGAGTCCTACGAAGGGAGACAGCAATTAGAAGAGAGGAGCCAATTCAAGGATTTCTTCTTTTAACACGATGATACGCTTTGATCAACAGGAAGCAATCAAGGACCAGTTACCTGATGCAAAGTGACTAAAATGAAGAGTTGATCGCATTAAAGACCTCTATTAATTCAATTAACTGTCGTGTAGATATGCCTACTGAATCTATGTAACTGAAACTGTGTCAAGCAATTGATCAAATTTCGGAGATTTTCAGCATCTTCACCTCCTCCAACTTGTCCAGAACTATTTTTTTTAGCCCGAAAGGATCAAACTTCCTCAATGACCCTCCCCTCCCGTCAATTTAGGCTTAGTCTTCCCCGCTGTTTGCATTCTTTCGTGATGAGATCACGCGCAATTCTGCTTAATTGCTATTTGGTTTCACTTTCGCACTTTGTCGCTTTCGAGAAGCATTTTGTCGATTTGCGGGCTGAAAACATCGATGTGTACACTCAACAGTTCCTGTAATCCTCAAAGAAGTAAGTCGAGATCATTTGTAATATAGATTTGAGAAAACAACGACCGGTAAGTGTTCGTATACAACAAGACCAAAGCTCAGTGTAAGATCCATTATTATTAAGGGTGCCATCACAGATTCATGCTCGTATGCTCAAACTGCAATACTTAACGATTGTATGAACAAGTTCGACCTGCTTCATTTTAATCGTTTACCGACAGCTAAGTCGATTTCGTTGCATATGAAACAATTGGGGCATTTTTCCTTCATTCATTTCGCAAACTGAACTATGGTCTCTTTTACTGCACGGAAGTATGACGATTCTTTATTTGCTGAATGGAAAACAGTATCTGGTATTAAAGGACTTTGGCTCTTCATTTTCGTTGAATACAATGATAACGAAGTTTTATCGCTTATTATCTCGCTTTGTTATCACCTCTGATGTGATAGAGATGTTTTGATTGCAAGCAAACGGCTTGAAGTCTTCTTTGTGCAAGCCCATCACGATCCGGCACAACAGCAGTGAAAAGATCGTCAGACAAGCAAAAGCATTTATCAGCCTTATTTGTTCCTCAAGGCACTGAAATAAGTCTCACTGGTAAGTGCGTTGTGTCAGTGTGTAATTTAGTTGTTTGTGTGGCGGACCGGGACTTGCTAATTATGGAAATGAAACTAAATATCCACAAGTCCTTGGACAACAAGAAGAAATACCAGTCTTCGCTCTAGAAATTGATAGAGGACACGCACCTTATTGCCGATCAGGATATTGGGTATAATTTGAAGATAGGGACGTTTTCCGAATGTATGTTGTGCAAGAGAAAACTGTCGATAGAACTTCGCAGTCGATTCGGGACATTTTCTAATTTACCTTTGTCCATAAACATTTGCCCCTAATTTTGTAGCCTTATACGTTTTAGCTGGCTGTACCGTGAGTTGATGAAGGAATAGCTGAAGACTGTGAACTTTGTACTGAATTATTCGATCGAAAGCTTTAATTGCTCAGTGCCGGAAAGGCTCTCAATTGAGAACAGTTTCCTTTTTCAATCCATGAATTGTTTCTCCGATTACTAAGCTTGAAATATCACACCAAACACGAGTGCAGTCAGCGAATCACTCAACATTTATTATTTCCATAATGTTGCCTTTATCTGCTCTGTACTAACAGAGGGAATGTAAAATGGTCTTCAGGTAAGCTTCCCCTGTCCCTTCCCACAACCCACTCTTGCCGATCCGAGTATTTTTCTAAAGTAATACCTGAAGTATAAGGAGAAATTTTGCTCTCCCAACTGCTTTGTTTACACTTAACGGATCAGCGCACAAATTTGACGGATGCGGTTATCGACGCTATTAGATAAGGTAGTTTGGAAAATAGGGAATGCCGGAATTTCGTGTCGGAATACCCGAAATTCCCGGAATGACCGAAGTATAATAAATTTAAAAGAATTAAAAGTAAATAAATAAATAAGAATATTGATGATTAAAAATTAATGGTAAATTCAAAACTTAATCAAATAATTTAATGCGAAATTTATCTCTGAGGGTCTCTGAGGGTTCGAAAAAACAAAAAAACACTTACCGGCACTGTTCATGGAGATGCACGTATTAGAATTAAAAAAAAGTCTGCGTCAGGCCAGTAGCCTATACAGCCTAAGCGACGAAATATTTGTACTCTCCCTTCCCCCTGGATGGGATGCTAGTCCATCACATGGTTACTCCCCGTTTTAAATTCGCCTCCACCCATTTACACACCTGTAGGATGTCTAGGGCGCCATGACCATTAGGCCGCCACGCTTTTCCA